GTCTTGTTAAAATAGGTTTTGTTTTAGATGTACAGGATGGAAAATATTGGTTGAAAGATAAACCGTTGTCTAAATTTTTGCTAGCTACGAATCTTCAGCAGACCGATCGATTGGACATACCCGTCCACGCTGTTCATAAAACAAGAATTCCATCTATTCATCAAATTTGCAGCACGGTATAAACACTGCTGGATATTAGTGGACAAAAGTGGGAAGCCACCACCATTTCTGCGGGTTCTCGAATTTCCATTGCCAACAATATCGTTACTGTTGAACAGAATATCGCTAATGTTATGGTTGCTAATCTGACACCACGATGGACTTATGTTCGCTCTGGACAGAAACTCGCTTTTCTCGGCCCTGTTTCTTCTAAGCCTAATCTGTAAAAATCTAATGGATCACTTCAAGAACATCAGAATACATCAGGATCCGAAAGAAGGACAATCTAATTCATCTAATTCTGCTGATAACTGTTCTAAAGACAGTTCATCTACTAATTGTGTTAACAGTCCATAATTAGCAACACCATTATTTATAGAAGAGAGAAAATTTGATAATTACAGTGAATAGATTAGATGACGATTGCTAAGTCAAGATCCAGCTGCACGTCGAATTGAAGATGAGGAAATCAAGATTTGAAAAGATGCTGATGTTGTAGAAGGAGATTTGGGTTCGCCTTTATCGCGTTTTGCAGCGTTATCGCGTTTTAGCGCGTTGAATAATCAAAGTACAGTTGAGAGCTCAGACCCTTCGACTGCCATCGTAGTTCGTTCTTTAGCTGAGAAAACCGATCTTGCTCATATTTCGCCAGCCGATCCTCAATTTTATTCACAAACGGCTGAGAAGCAAGTGGAGTCGTTCAATGATTCTACAAATATACCTGGTGATTGGCTAACTAAACTCGATTTAGCATCTTCTGCACTGAAAACAAAACGTATTTTAGAAAACCAAAAGGATTTTTAGTTTTCGTTCCAAAACCGAAAAGGGTTTATTTCAAACATGAAAAACTAAAAAGCGTTTTGTAATCACTACAAAACGCTTTGGTTTCGTACAAAACGGTATTTCTAATTTTTTGTAATAATAATTCGGTATTGTACAATACGGTTGAAGTTTTTGAATTAGCAGGAAATACCAACACAGTTTTTCGGTCTTCTGCGAAACCCTCTTCGGTTTATCTGTTCCTTGAACAACCGAAGCCGACTTAGTAGGGTTTCGGAAATTTCGGTTTCAGGCCTTAAACGTCCTAAACTCTTCCTCTGTGTGTACGCAGTTTTTTTAAAAACTATTATAGAAAGAAAGTTTCTGTGAGACGTGCAAGTGTACTATGCTTAACTACCATCTAATGATTGTCTTTAAATGTGTTATCTCAATAATCTTTTGTTGGTAATTTACGAATTTATAATTTTATATTATGTGCGATTGAGTTTATTTCGTACTACCAGAGAAAAAAGCAAAATCATGTTTTTACTTCTTATCCTCATTTTATTATACATTACGAGTCGAACCATAATACTACTATGACAGTAGTAAGTATCAAAAATCAGACATTGAATATCATGTCTGATATTCAAAATATCAGACATGACAAAAATATGTTTACATTTTTTCTCATATTATCTGTTCTATGAACAAATCAATAACTGTACTTTTGCCAACTGAGGAATGTATTTAGACTAACAAGGTGGAATGACAGTATAGACCCTAATTTCAGGCATTCACCATGAGACCATGTAATAGCCAACACCAGAGGAAGAGTTTACGAGGTTTAAAATCTGAAATCGAAATTTCTATCGGCGCTGGCAAAGTTATGTAATAATTTGGACAAGTTCTTTATATCTTAGTGCCTCGGATCATCCATCCGGTGGCACACTCACTATGTTGTGGCGTACAATACAGCTTCTTCGCTAGTCCTTGTGGCTAAGTTACTGTCAAAGATACCTATCCAATTATCAGAATAGATGATACACTTAATGCACTTAAAGATGCCAAATATTTCAGTACTCTTGATTTCTCTTCTAGGTTTTTGGAAGGAAAATACTGCTTTTAGCATCCATGAACGCATTTTTCAATTTAAAGTCATGTCATTTGGACTGACTGATGCACCAGCTACTTTCCAGCATCTCATGGATCTTGTTCTACGAAGCCTGAAGTGGAACTGTTCCACGGCTTATTTAGATGATGTCATAATTTATTCATCAACATTTGAACAACATCTAATAGACATTGATAATGTCCTTAATCGAATAAAAGAAAGTAGCCTTACATTAAAATCATCGAAATGTTTCTTTTGTCGCCGAGAATTAAAATATCTAGGCCATATAGTCAGTGCTAATGGCATTCGACCTGATTCAAATAAATTGGAAGCGGTCTGGGCTTTTGCCGTACCATCTAAATCGATGAGACGTACGAACTATCTTGTGTCTTATGGGTTTTACCAAAAATTACGCTGACAGTGCTGAGCCTCTTTTTGAATCAATCAGAGAAAAACATAATCTTGTTTCTGTATTCACCCGATAGCCGCCTGCTCTATGAAAACATGCCCACTGTGTATGACTAGTTCACACTCATCCCATCCACTGCTAACCTACCAATATTTCAGCCTCCGCTGTCCATTACCCGCTTGAGGGTTTTAAAACCCAGATGTCTGAACGCTGTGACTTTTCTATTTGAATAGAAGATATGTTCATATAAAATAAATGGACGTTTTGAAAAATCTAAACATATCTTTAGTATTTAAAACAGCGCCTCAGAGTAGCCACAGAATTCCATCAGAGTAGCGGATCCAAGCAATTCACCTCCTCTTTTCCATCTCCAAGCAATTTCGTCCTTCACTTCCTCTCACGGATATTGGGCTCACATTACGATAAAGTTGAGTGAGAGTGTTGTTTACTTTCAGTGCTTGCGCTAGCAATTCACTTCCTCTTTCGAATACTTTACTATTCCTTTCAATAATTGCATTATGTCCTAAGCGATCCAACTCATGTTGAGCAATTCAACCAACGTCGACCACAATCACACACAGGGAACGAGAAATACTTGAAACGAAAACCAAATTAATGTCACGTACGAATCACTCTACAGGACAGCTACCCATCTTCTTGCAACGCTACTCTCAGTTTCTCACTTCCGCTCACGGATATTTGGTTGCCTCCAAGATCGAGTTGAGTGAGAGTGTTGTTTACTTTCAGTGCTTCTGCTAGTGCTTCACCTCCTCTTACCGATATTGGTTGCCTCTAAGATCAAGTTGAGTGAGAGTGTTGTTTACTTTCAGTGCTTATGCTAGAGCTTCACCTTCTATATTATATATTTGGTTGCGTCTAAGAGAAGGTTTAGTAAGAGTGTTGTTTAGAGTCGGCACTTCTGCTAGTGTTTCACCTCCTATATCGGATATATGGTTGCCTCCAAGATCGAGTTGAGCGAGAGTGTGGTTTACTTTCAGTGCTTCTGCTAGTGCTTCACCTCCTCTCTCGGACATTGGGATGCCTGAAAAAAAGAGTTGAGTAAGAGTCTTGTTTACGTTCAACGATGGTAGTGATTACTTCAGACGCGTTTTGAGCTGTCCTGTCAATGAAATCGCGTAGTTTCATGTGCACCGGTAGTGATGGTAGTTGTGTGATCCAGAACACCTGTGAAACCAGCACTTTGATCACCTGTTCTGGTTTGACGTCGAGCAGTGATAACGAGCGAAGATTCACCAATACGTTCTTGGAAGAGTGGGTGAGGAACAAGCCAAAGTAATCGAAAGTGTGTTCAGACAGATGCAGAGAACGAATTTGTGCCGTTGATGGAAAGTGTTCGCAGATAAAGTCACATCTGGACTTGGTGATGGCATGAAAGTTCAGATCAAACTGTAGACTGCCGACTACTATCCATCCCAAAATACAGTGCAGGTGGGTACTTTTGAATAACGTTTGACGGAAATGAGATCGAGACCTGCAGTTTTCGCTGTTCGATAGCCAAGACTCGAGCGGAATTTTTCACAAGCGGAGATAGACAGGTGCACAGGAAAAGCGTGTCCTGTCCGAACGACGATAGCTGGAGAGCCGCGACTTGAATAATTTTATATGGTAACGTCTGGACTATGTACGCATGCAAAAAAATTACTAACATTATATGTTAGTTTTCTGAGAACGGAGCTGGTTTTCCAAAGATCCTCTGGAAACCAGATCTTTGAAATTTTTTCAAACGTTGTTTCCGCTTGTGGAAAGTTCCGCTCAAATCTTGGCTATCGAACAGCGAAAATTGCAGGTCTCGATCTCATTTCCGTCAAACGTTATTCAAAATATACCCACCCGCACTGTATTTTGGGATGGATAGTAGTCTACCTAAGCGATCGTTTAGGCGAAGGAATGAATGAAGAATATCATAAGCTTGCAAATGCTCGAAGATTCTAGAATCACTTCGTTCGGAAGCGATTGAAACTGAGTGTCAAGCTCCGTAGTAGTTTAGTGAATAGAAAGCCCCGTGCTCTAGTACTACGGCTGACAAAAATCGAGATAAAACGTGTGCACAAAAAGTGTGCTTTTATTGAATAATGAAAAAACAAAAAAAGTGTATAACAAATCTGTATATATCTAGCACTGTACAACTGGACTGAAAAATAAAATCATAAAGGAAAAAGAAGAACCTGGACAATACGTATATGAAAAAGAAAGAAGGAAAATCATGCATCTAATACACAAAGATATAGAAAAATGAGAATCGAGACTTATGATCTGACAAGGTCATAACACTCTCCCCCTCCGAAAAAGGATGTAACATCTATCCGAAAAAATTAAGGTTAACGTAGAATAAAACAGAAACACAGAAAAATCAATAACAAAAGAGTTGGTTAACGAAAAAGAAATAAGTTTTTATTTTTTGTTGTTTTGTTTTTTTTATTTTATAAAAACAGAAATATGATGAACAGATAGAATACGAATAGGTAAAACAAATAGACCAAAAAAAACGGGTGAAATAATAATAACAGAGAGAGAAAAAAAATAATAAAATAGATGAATTTATAAAACAAAAAATGATACGAAATAATCCTCGCCAATAATACGACGATCTGATGAGTTGGCAAAGCCAACGATTAGTCGGCGATGTCCGTTTTCTGTTTTATCCTTGACATGGGTAAATCGTATATGACGTTCGCGTAAATGGCGATCGATTGCTGGTAATGCATAATTTTTATGTAGGATATCGTTGATTGAGTACAAATATCGTCGTTTCTTTCTTCGGATGTGTGCTCTACGATTTCGCCAATAATTAGATAAATGAGAAGGCGCCGTAGAAGATGGTATGAGTACGTTGGGTGTAGGTTGTGGTGATAATGAAGGTGAGATGGGTCGTGGCGATGATGGATGAAGTGATAATGTCTGTTGAGAAGGCGACGATGGTTCGGAATGAGGTGGTGATAATGGCGGTTGTTGTTGTTGATGTTGTGCTAATGATCGTGCAGGTGGTTTCATGTAAAAATATAAACGAGTAACAACCACACAGTCATAAGATGCATAAATTACCATTTGTCGTCGACGATACAATTGATCGGAATTGTTGTTGTCTAATGCATCTCCAGTTAATTGTGGATTAATATACGTTTTTAAACGTTTATCCAAACCAGCATTCCATTTGCTAAGTTGCCATTGTTTGTCTAAAAATAAATTAAACGTTTTAGCAACAGCTTTTTGTAAACTTACCGGTTCGAAATAAATATCGGCTGGTGTATGAACTGATATAGCATCGTCTTCAATTGTAGCCAAATCCGGGTCTCTCTCCTTAAAGGTGAGACCCTACCTTCTAACCAACGTGAATAATAATGTTGAACATTTTGATCTGTATCTGGGTCGGAGCTTGGAAGTTGTTGATTTGTAAACATTTGATAACATAAAAATTGACGCAATTCATCCATTGGATCTCCCCATGCATGAATGTGTTCGGGTAGACGAAGAATATTTTCCCATATTTTTTTGATAGAAATAAATGAGGATGAAGTTGGTTGTGGTAAATAGGCACAGTCGAATAGGATTAATAGTTGAGTTGTTGTTATTTCGTTCTCATTATATTCATCGTCATTACTATTGACTTGGACTTGTATTAAGGACGGTAAATTAGTTAAATATGGCCGACGTGTTGATTCGGTATCGATTGTAAAAGACGACGCCTGTTCTGTGACATGCACCAAGTAATTTAGTTCTTCTGATGTTGTTGCATAATTAACGAAGTTGACTTGCAATAATGATGTTGTTCCCGGTCAGGCCCCCATTGTCGAGCTCCGTAGTAGTTTAGTGAATAGAAAGCCCCGTGCTCTAGTACTACGGCTGACAAAAATCGAGATAAAACGTGTGCATAAAAAGTGTGCTTTTATTGAATAATGAAAAAACAAAAAAAGTGTATAACAAATCTGTATATATCTAGCACTGTACAATGTGATAATAAAAAAAAAATAAAATGTGATAATACCATGAATAAAGAACTGTTTTTTTTCTAAGACTTACCAGACAAGGATATGTGTAACTGGGAAATTTCTGTAGTACTTCATCAATTGTGTGGTGTTCGAAGGAATAATCGACGATAACTGAATGTTTTCTTCCACAAACTGTTCAATAAGTCAATATTTGTTGTTGCACTTTCAACTTCTTCTTTCATTGTTGTAATCTGCTGTTCGGCATCTTGTTCATTATTAAAATCACTGACATAAATCTAAAACGAAAAAACATAGTATTTTAACATCAAGAAGCCTTTTCGAAACTGAAGTCATCTTACAAGCTTTTCAAATTTACGTTCAGCCGATCTGCTTTACTTTGCTTCGGAGGACGCCCGTGCCCTTTCCCAAATTTTTCCTGTTTAATTTTGACAATTGCTGATGTTTCTTGTAAAAGACGACGTTCATTTTTGAACTTTTGTTTGATCGCTTCACGCCATTCATTCTAAAACAAACAAATTGCGTCATACACCGCTAAAAAAGAAGTATGCTATTACCATTGCATTTGAGTTTGTGATTGGAATCTTTAATGCTTTAAGTAATGCTTGTGTAATAATAACATAATCACTTGCTTTAGGATACCTATAGCAGAAGTATATCAGAATCAGTTATAAATCCACACAACGTTGTTCACATAGTGCTTACAGTAGATAATAATTATTCACAACATCTTTAAACACAGCACTGAGCAACATTCGATGATGATTCGTACGTCCGCATAGTTTGGTTAAATCGTTTTCATCGACGATTGATTGTATTTGCTCTGGTAATGTTGTAAATTCGTATCCTGCTGGCATCTTCGGCTGTGATGCTTCGGGATTGTCGTCTTGTTCATCTGTCTTGATTCGGTAATTGTTAATTGACCTTGTTCCCGATGTGACAGTAACAGTATTGTTAATAGGTATCGATATATCATCGAACAAACCTTTATATGCCGTTGTTGTTTGTTGTGCATTATATGTATCAACTGATTGATCAAGAAATGAATCTGAACGTTCTTCTTTATCCGGTTCTCCACGTCCACCACCACCCAAATTATTAATTAATTTATCGCGTTCTTCAGTAAATCTCATTCGATCTTTTAATTTTGGAAGCAGCACTCGTAATTCATCGTATGGTAATTTTATTAACATATATCCATCCACTTCTTCACCTAAACAAAACGATAAAAGAAAATATCAGTAACAGAGTGTGAAAACAGATATTACTGTTTCTTCTAGTTAGACAGTTAGACGAGGTAGAATATTGATATAAGGAGAGCCCTTAACGTAATAAATGTCCAGTCCATGCGGTAAAACATCTAAACATTGATCAAGATCGAATAAATCTAATGTCCCACAAAAATCAATTTCATAAGACCATAGTTGTTCGTTGAATCCAACTATTTGTAGATGTTCAACAATTACTTTCCAAGTATTTTGTATATTCAAAATATGCAGAATGTAAACAAAACACGGGTCTTCTTCTACGTGAAGTAATTTCTCAACGAACACCGAGCGTGTCATTATCCGAACATGGTTATGTTTAATTGTTTTACATTCATCAAATGTTGCTTGATCAATATGATTTGCATTCAATAAACGTTGAACTAGTATTGATAATTGATAATATTTCACGTTTTTTCTCGACGTTATTTCATATATATTGTAATAATTCTTGTTTGACAGCAACAGACATTGCCGAAGTTGATGTCGTTTTATCAGAGTGAGCGGTGGATTTTTGAAGTTGAATGCTCGGATAGCCAGTTGTTTGAAATATAGATGCTTCGCCTCGAAACGCATACACCAAAAGTGGGTTGCTGGTCCGTTCATATCAATTAATCTTGAGTAGTCGGTGACGAAATGGACTTTTGGTATGACGTGATCGGGTAAATTGTGTACCATTAATGATTGAAAACGTGTTGCTAACGACTGTAGATACGGGAGCCACGATTTTTTAAACTTTGTCGAATAAACATGGCCAACAATTTCCCGTAAACACGTGTAAATATCCATTGTATTGACGAGACGATCGATAATATCATGAAATATAATTGGCATCAGCTTGAATAAACATAATTTTTGACTTGCCGATCCAACGATATGACCTTTGCCAAGATGTTTAGCACGAATTATAGTTGGCTTATTATGTTGATCATTCTTTCCATATTTAAATATCTCCATCCTTTCTTCCACTTGACCATATGTCATAATCCGTTTCGTTGATGCTTCTTTCAACATCGCGACAATGATCAGTGGACAAACACCTAAACAGTGAAAAAAAGAAAAACAACAATATACAGGACTAATGTAAAACATATCACTTTCACCCGCAACACCAGTAATAATTCTCGTATTGTTTGATTGCAAAACTTGTTGTACATGTGTATTGTGTGTTGTTATCGTACGAGGTAAAAATGAGATATCTGTTAATGGAATTGATTTAAATCGATACGAAACGTGGCAAAGTCGACAGAAATATCCAGAATTAAAATTCCTTTGAAAACCACCAATCTCATTTGACGCAAGATGATCGGCTGCCATTAAACTAAATCCAAAATGTAAACGACCACTAAACGTTTTGACACTCAAGCCAGCTGTGTGTAAATGATTAAAGCTTTAATAATTGGTTCAAAGTATTTTATACGATTTGTTTGTAGCGATAAATGTATTGTAAAACATATTCCAATGAGTCCGATTGATTGTAACATCGGGTAAATCTTCTAAGACAAAATAATATAATGTGAGTTTATGCTCATCCTTTTTGGGACCGATCGGATTTGTCAACCAACACTATCCGTATAAATCTGTAACAAAAATGAATTTGGATGGAGTTGTAACGAAGGATTAGTTTGTGCTGCACTACCATCACGATATGTTAACATTAAATCCGGGTCGGCTTTCGTTTTTGTTATTGTATCGTTTAAGTTTTTCAACAAATTATCGATAACATCTGGTTTATTTAATAGATTTGTGATACTTCGTTCAACAGGAATATAATAACCACAATCACCATGAGCATTCAGTTTAATTTCTGCCGGTGGTTCATACCCAAAATACTGTTCACAACGTTTTAAAAACTGATAATCATTTTTCCCGGTATTGGATATTGAATTTGTTATTTGTAATATAAATTTACGTGTATCTTCCAATGATACTATTGGGCTTGTTGTTTTTGTTACTTGATTTTCAATAATTTTAACTAATACCATCAGCAACGTTGTCAGATATGATGTAATTGACTGTACGATGTTTTGTGGTAACAGATGACCTTCACGTAATTCCAGTAAAAACCGAGTGTAATGTTTTTCAAACGAATCAGTTGTAAATACTTCTTTATCATCTTCTTGATTAATCGAACAACTGAACAATGACCAGTCCATATCATTTGTATTTGACTTTGGGTCTTCAAATGTCTCTCGTTCATTATCATATAACTCTTCGTGCCTATCGATATCTTCATCTACGTCTTCTACAGTAACATCCATATTTGATAAAAAAGATGAATCTATTTGTTCATTGTTAGCTCTTGTATGTTGAGTTGATGGCAGTGGTTGATCATTCAAAAGATCACGATGATATCGATTCAGATGGCTACGATAGCTTTCGAATGTTGTGTAAACAGAGCCACAAGTCGGAGCTAGTTCACAGCGAACACTGAACGATGTGTCATTTCTATGTATTGGGCGGATATGCTTGTAAAGTTTCAGGAACGAAAAACACGGCTTGCTATGCTGGCAAACTGAACAAAAATAATAATTAGGACTCATTCTTAGCTACCTCTGAATTGTTGAACTACATTTGGATTGGATACAAATGTTGATAACCACTTCAATACATCGTCACAATTCATATCATTTATATTCATTGTTATTTTGCGCTTAGATGAATTAAAGAAAGACATCACTACGCGAAAGAAAAGGGTAAATCTAACTTACCACGAGGTATGAGAGGAGATTTTCACCAGATTGTTATCAGATGAATGTCTTACTGTAATATATGAATGACTCCATAAGTGAAAAATACAAGAGTATATATACATGTACATAGAGAGCGAGAAAAATATCATTCAACGAAAAAAAGAAAACTTCATACAAGGCAAAATGGACTGGATGTATAGGTAACAAAAGAAAAGAGAAAACATGTACAATGAACGATTATACAATGAATAAATTGTATAATAAGGATGTATTTAGCGAGCGAACACCAGAGTGGAGAACATATGTATATGTTGTGGCCAAACTTAGAATTCGACCAGATTCCGAATTTGGCCGGCCAAAACTGGAATTCTGCTTTTGGCCGGCCAAACTTAGAATTGAGATGCCTACACATGGAAAATTCCGAATTTGGCCGGCCAAAACTGGAATTCTAACTCTGGCCGGCCAAATTCCGAATCTGGCCGGCCAAAGCTGGAATTCTGCTTTTGACCGGCCAAACTTAGAATCTAAACGGCCAAAACTGGAATCTAACTCTGACTGGCTAAATTCAGAATCTGATGGGCCAAAAGTTGAATTTTAATTTTGACCAGGCCAGAATCGAAATTTGGAATTATTATTATTATTATACTATTATTATATAGTATTATATTAATTATTCGTTCAACATAGTTCTTTTAGATTTACAAATTCTTTCCTGTACTGGCGTATATAGTCTTTTCCTTGCCAGCACTTGTCTTGACTTGTTGGGATTATTGTACAACAAATCACGGATCATACTCAAGGCAGGGAATCTATACTGTATATCACTGGAATATAGCAGTATTACATTAAATTACGTTTAACATCT